GCATTGTTCTTCCGACGTCTGATTTCTTTTTAATTATAGGAAATGCGTTTTTCTAAAGTACATAAACTTTTGGGATTGACTATATAGCCAATACATCGTTAATCGTATATCTTTGAAAAGCAAGTAAATAGTGTTCGGAGTTCTAATGAACATATCCGCAGAACTCATCGATCGACTTAATATTCAATTTTTTTTTCAAATTGCGTGACGTTCAACTCACCATTGATCTGAACGCTGGTCGCGCTGTTGTTCAAGAAGCTGGCATCGTTATTATTCCCGTTCCCGTGTACACCGTTCAGCTTCGGTTCAACGGTCTTTTCGTTCGATTCTGGTAGCTCGATCTTAGTCTCGGTCCTGTGGTGCGGATCCGGGCTGGTCCTTCCGTGCCCGTTCTCCACGGGCTCCGACTTGTGATCACGGTCCAAGGTTACTTGCTGCTGCTGGCTATCCTCCAGCTTCGCCTCGATCGTGCACTCGTCGCTGGCGAACGCTGGGTTATCCATACCATCGCACATCGACATCTCGAATACGCCTCACCGAAACGCTTCTTGGACCCTCACCTGATCACGATCACCCGGTATCGACTCTCATACGTATCGATTCTGCAAAACAAATACAATTCCATTGAGAAATGTACGCCACGTGTTCGTCCGTCAAAAATCTGACATATGTTTCATAGCAAGAATTATCTCAATTAATGTATCAGTAATCTGGAAAATTGTTTTGCTTATCCACTGATTAGAAAATCGGAGATTTCACGAAAATTATATCAGATAATATGAAAGGATTGCAATTTGACGCAATGATTATTTATTAAAGTTTTCATCTATTTACTCCAGAAGCATAAAACGATAAATTGCACTAACTCCTGTGCATTTATTATCAGTCTAGTAGTTTGTAGAGGAAGAGTTAGTCGTTTCAGAGAATGGTCGATGGTAATAGATATAAAATGATGATTGATGTTCTGTAAACGATGGAATAGATTTGTATTCGTAGATTTCGTCGATCTTCCTCGATTCCCTTGATGGTACGTAGAAAAAAGTCGAATTATATAAGAAGTCCATTAAACGAAATTGTAATGGTCTGTTCCATTTTGAAAGTTTTCGTCGTCTTTTTATGTTTCATACAAAAATTCTGTTTCATTTGAAAGGAATATTTTAATTTACATTCCACATTTTTGATTATGTAAGAATTAAAAATAGCATTTCCGTTGGTCAATCGTTTAAAAGATTATTTCGTTTCCAAATAAAAATCGCCCAATTATAACAAGAAATGGGCAGCTGAATAATAAATACTTTTTTTATTGCGATCAGCTTTCTAAGCAAAAATCGTCTAATTATTACACCGTGAATCATTGAGGAAATGATTCACACATCGCGGTTTAAAAAACCATTGAAAAAATGATTAAGAGGATGTATGATTCAATTCCATTACGATAATGATAGCTATTATGATACGCGCGTATTATGCTGCCTGTTTAACGAGGAAGCCGAAAGGTTTTATCCTACAAAGTTTTCTTTCGTCCACAGACGAGACGCGTCCACGTGATCGTAAAACTGTTAAATGATATGCAGATCATCTCAAAGAAACGAAGTCGTTTAGAGATAAGTGGATTGTAAATTTGTGAGACAACCAAACGTGCAGGAAATATGAAATAGATATATAATGTGTGAGAAGATGAAGTAAAATTCTATCCATATCGTTTTCCAAATTGGTTCTATAAAATTAAAATTTTGCATAATAATGCACGTGCAATGTACGAAGAGCATTGTGTTTTTTGTCCAGGTGTCTCACAATGATTAAAAATAAAATTCACATCCTAAATGACATCACGAAAGTTTCGTTTAAAATTCGTCATGAAAATCTACGGTTCAGTCGTTCTTTGTTGATTCATCAAGATTCCTGGGATCTAATCTCTCGTCAGGACTTCCAGGACACCCTGTAGGATACGGTCAGACGAACCGACGTCGTCGTTCGGTTGTGTACAGGCAAACGTTGCAGGCATATACTGCACCGAAAGCGGTTGACCCTGAGAGAGGCAGGCACAAAGGACTGATTCACCCCGGGGCCAGAGTGAAGTCTTCCGAGGAGCAGCTCGCGTTCACCCGGGTCGAATCCTCCTCTCCGAGTCTCTCTCTACGTTCCGAGCAAATGACATAATCCCTATCTCGCACACCATTTTTCACACTCACCTCGTAATTGATAACGTAATCAATGAACGGAGTAAAAGTTTCTGTTTAAAAAATGAAATTTCTATTCAATTTTCTGGTGCATGAAAGACTAGTGATAAAAAATGGAAGAGTACATTTTTTTGGTCTGACCAGAATTTTCTACTTCTACTTCTACTATGATTAACTCGTGTATCTGAACTGATCTCTTCTCTAATTTTCTAACGGACAAGCATCCTCTATAACGTTAATTGCAGCGTTCATAATTAGACTTCCATATTAATTTATAAACTTTCCTTAGTTAATTCCCGTGAAGAATCGTGTAGAAGGGATCAGCCAATAGAGCGTGGTCGAATTTCGGTTTCGAACGTTACGGTATGCATAGATAATGTAGAAAAGTTGTGCAAGGTTTCCTGTCGATTATGATCAAGGTGAAAGTCTTCGAGTTCGCCGGAGCGAAACGTTATTAGCCGGGAGAGCTCGTAAATTATGACCAGTGTCCCGGGAATGTCCTTTGCCAAGGAACCCTCAGATCTTTTTCGGTCCGACTCCAGTTTCGTTTGTCAATGTCATTCTCAATGTCTATCTATATTTCTTTCTTGAAAAAGTGTGACTTTAAAGAATATTACAGTACATCTCGAATTTGCTAGTTCCTCGATTTTAGTTTTAGTCTTTAATCCTCTTTTGCCTCGTTCATCGACCCATGGGAATTAGTATCGGGGAGGCACGCCTCGTAGAAGTGGAATTCTAAGGATTCGAAGCGACGACGACGACGAGGATCGCGACGAAAGAAAGCGCGAAGGCGTTCAAGCGTTGCACATGCACGCGCGTGCAAAAATGTCGGTCCGCATTGTCTCGCGTGCGTTAAGGTAAGAGAGAGGTACAGCCATCACGGTGTACCTGAGAGATCGCGACTCGATCGACCAGTGATAATTACAAGAGATTTGCAGTAGTAAGATTAAAAGTATCTGTTTAATTCGTGAATAAATATCATAGAATTCTATGCATGTGCTTGAATTATGAAACAAATTAATTATTATATTAATTAGTATTTCGACATGAAACATCATTTATTGTGTCAAACTTTAAAAGAAATAATTATTATGTGAAATATTTGAAATATTGTATTCATTTTTCTTAGAATATTTTCATGTTTGATAAAAATTTGCAAATATAAATTGAAAAGTGTTGACTGGTTTTGAGGATCGAGGAAGATCGAGGAAGAGGCGTTACAGAATAACCGTCTGACATTTCAGAGATTCTAGAGAGAGCATCGTTACACAATACATCTACACATAGATAGTATATCGACGATACAAAACAGTGTTCTGTTCTCCTCTGATTATAATAAATAATTAGATGCATGGCCAGGCTAGGTTCTAAGACGTTGCTTCTCCTTTTCTCAAGTTTCACCAAAACTTCCACGACTGCATCGACCTGCTATTAGGTTCCTCATTATTATGCTTTCACCGCTTTTACTTTCTTCATCGAAATCCTCGACTGAAATTCAATACACGTGTTCAATATATTTTTTATTTAATCAATTGAATCTTTAAAACTATTCCCATAAAATTCTTTTCAAAAAGTTGAAAATTGTTCGAAGCAGCAAAGAAATTTATTCTCCGTTTATTATAAACGTTTTGAAATGTTGAGAAATTTAAATGAAATGATAACGCAATGAAAATCAGAGGAGTAACAAGTGAACGATGGAAAACTGGGATTAAGAGTTAATCACCGGTCGACCCAGATACAGTGTTTACCACTGATTATGGTGCAGCCTCGTATAATTAAAAAGCACTGCTGCTGGCACACTTTTGACACGAATCTCGAAAAACGTATACAATAGAAGGTCTGTGTTATCGTACGCCACGAAATTGAACGGTTGCAATTAACCGCACAATAGTTTGTAACCGGTTCTGCAATACCGGGAATACTCGATTCTCAGAGATTTTCATCCTGCGCTTATCAGTCACGTTCGCTGAGATCTTTGACACTATCCTTCCGCAAGGTATAATAAACGATAATCGGTAGACTGTCGATTCTCATCCGAGATAAAACTTGTACAGTGTTAATTTAAGATCTTGTAAGAATTCCTTCAAGAGGCCAGATAAGCTAACTTTATGTTCTCTTTCCTCAATTTATCAGACTTCAGATTTTTAGACAATATCATACTAAATGTGTATTTTAATTGAAGGGAATTTTGAAACATCGAATAGGTCGAAAATTTTACAACCCTATCAATGTGTGAGCTCTTGCCAGTCTGACTATAAATAGAATTTAAATAAAAAATCCAGTGAATTGTTAAAAGGAGTTTCGCAGGTGCTCGTAGCAAAACGAAAATCGTGACTGCGTGTGAAACGTTGAAAAGGAAGTAAAGGAACTCGGTGGGTGGTGGGCGTACAGCCAGGAAAAGGTTGATAGATGCATGCGTACTTATAGCCGTGTTTGAACGTCCCTAATGGTAATTCTCTACGCGCTGGCTTTGTCTAATAATACCGGCGCCGATGTATGGATCCGCGTAAGATAATAGTCTCTTCTCGAATGACGAGAATTCTTGGCGTCGCGTCGCAACGATCACGGAAACCAGACGTAATGGAACGTTTGCATAGCACGCAGAATCGCGGTCACTTACCGAGCTTCCTCTCCTTTGTTTACCTACCTGCCGTTCGTATCGTTTCCATTTTCTTGTACGTTCATTCCGAACGATGCCTCGTCTGATTTCATTATTTCATATATCATAAAAAAAGGTGTAGCTAATTTATTTTAAATAAGAAATTTTTAATTAGTTTAAACTTTTATATCAAAGCTAAGTGCATAGAATTTTCTAATTTCTCGAATCATTATTTTAAACAGACAGACGCGTTCATGTATTTTATCAAATCACATTCTAAGGCTCATAAATTCAATAATGAATGAATAATGGTACTTCATATTGAATCACTTTAATGATCGATTGGATAATGACTAGAACCATGCAAATGGTTGGCAATATCAATAAATCTCGTTAGGGAAACTGAAATTTCGGATCTAAGTGAATGCCGTTGTTCGATACAACGGCAGTTGCGCTCAGCATTAGCAGTCAGCCGTTCCGAATGACCTTTCTACCACACGAAGCCGACCGGCAGCGAGACGATGACGACGACGACGATGATGATGATGATGATAGTGTTGGACTTTGTAAGGCGCATCCTCGCAACCTATACTCTTTCGCTCCTATGAAGTGAGGAAGGGGGCCTGTGTTACCCAAGATACTTTACTTTCTACATTCCTAGCGAGACAATACGTACACCCACGCAGCTCGCTTGTGTACCTGTCTCCGGGCAACGGAATTACGTTCCATTCTCCCGGGGGGACTTCAATTTAACAGATGTTTGATACCGTTCGCAATTTTCAACAGTAATAGTCGATGCCACTCGGGAAATAAATCTTGTCTA